AAACCCATTCAGCCAAACCTTCTCGTCCTAAAAAAACCCATCGACCTCCTTCAAGGCGTAAAGACAATTCAGCTAAAAGAAATGAAGTTTTATCTTCTTCAGATATATCTACTAGTTTATCTTTTTCTAAAAGAAGACGTTCTTTATCTCTTAAATTTCAGAAAAGCAATGCTTACCTTCGTGGTCGACAAAGTAGAGCTAACTTTGAGTCTCAAGGAAAAACAAGCTTTGGTGATTTAAAACCCTCACGCTTCTTCAGTTTCAAATCCCTAAGACTGCGGTCTAGCCCTAGACTAAGTATGGTTACTTGTTATGAGGACTCTAATAATTTTGATTTTCAATCAAGTAGTCAGAACACATTTTTTCTGAGTGAAATTGAAATCATTTCTAGAAACTCAAGAATTACTGATGTTCGAAGATACACGAGTTCTTTTCTTCCTGAATATAGCACTATGCAATTAACGATTGAAACAAGAATTAATTACTCACCCCAATGGACTTCTATAGAGAAAACCACCTATCAACAAGACAAAGCAACCTTTAATTCTCTCCCAACTCTCAGTAGCTTTTCCGATGAGCCAAGTGGAATTCTCTCTGAGGATGAAGAAAGAGACCAGATAAGGAAAGATTCCCTTCATTTTGATTCTCAAAGGCGTGGTACAAATTATTCTACGGCTTTAATTCAACAGCATCCTTCTCAACGTGTAATTTCTCCTCTTCTTAATGTTGGATTTTCTTCCTTTTATAAAAATGGTAGTTGCTTTACCCCATCTCAAAATAACATCATCTCAGTTCCCTTTGAAGTTGAAAAATTGAGATCTCATCTTAAGATGAAGGCAAATCTTCACCTATTAAAATTCCTGAATAAGGTCTCCTCAGACTTTATCCTCTCTGAGAAGGCATCTAAAATCAGAGATTATCTCAGCGTAACGACTGTAGTCTAGAAATCTTTACTTGGTTCTCATAGCAGTCTCTTTCCTCATAAGCTTTACTGCATTTTCTCAAAAGATCTCTATGTTGCAGTCTAAATTTAACTTCAATTGCTGTATTTTTTGAAAGATAGTTTATTATACATTGGACATCCTTCTGATTTTTAAGGAGAATGCTTCTAATGTTTCCTCATTATTGAGTGTGAAATGTATTATAATTTTGGGTATCTAACCTTTATCAGGTTTAGAAATCCTCTTCTATTCCTTGTGTGTGGATTTGATATTTCTGTTGTCCTGAAATGGTATTGAATATTATTGAAAAGAATTTTTGGTAACCACTGAAATAATCATATAGTTTTTCTCACTTTGTTGAACTAGAGAAATTGTCTTATATTAAACTGTGCTGTATTTCCTGGGATAAACTCAATTTGGTTATGATGATGCATTCTCCCTTGTTTGATACAGTTTTATTAAGGAGTGTTACACTTATGTTTATGTGTGAAATTGGTATATAATTTTTATTTCTTATGCTAACCTTGTTTGGTTTTGTCTCAGCTTTTCATAAATGAACCGAGGTTGTTTCCTCTTTTTTAATTACTAAAAGAATTTGAGTAAGTCTGAGTATCTGGATAGTTCATAGATTTCACTATAAAGCTATCTGTGTTCTCTCTCTGTTGTCATGCATATGTGGGTGTGAATGTGGGTGTCTGTCTCTGTGTGAATAAATATAACTTCTGATTTGATTTATTTAATGGTTATGGAGTATTCAAGTTTTTATTCTTTGTTCTCATAAAATATAACATTTTGTTGAGATACTATTCATGCACCATAAAATTGACCCTTTTAATGTATATAGCTTGAAAGTTTTATTCACAGAATGGTGTTGCTGTCACCGCTGTCTAATTTCCAAACCCTTTCATCACCCCACAATGAGACCTTGTACCCACTCCCTATCTCCATCTCTAGGCCCTGTCAACCATTAATCTGCTATTTCCATGGTTTGTTTCCCTGCCCCTGCCCATGTCATAAGATGAAGCAATGCAGTATGTGACCTTTCCCTTAGCATAATGTTTTCAAGGTTCATTCATGTTGTATCATGCATTCTTCTTCGGGTTTTTTTTTGTTGTTGTTGTTGAATAATATTTCTTTGTTTCATCATAATGTTTACCCATTCTTCAGTTCATGGACATTTGGGTTATTTTCACTTCTTGACTATTATGAATATTCCTATGAGTATTCCCTGAACAGTGTTTTATGTGAACATATGTGTTCATTTCTCCTAAATATGTACTTAAAAGTATAATTGCTGAGTCATGGTAGTTCTGTATTTAACATTTTGAGAAACTATCAAATTGTTTTTCAAACTTGATACCCCATTTTATAATCCTATCAGCAATGTAGGAAGGTTCCAGTTTTTCCATATCCTTATCAATACTTATTATTATCTCGTTTAAGTTTAGAAGGCGTTAAATGATTTTTTTGTGTATGGTTTTGATTTCTATTTCCTTAATGATTAATGATATTGAGTATCTTTTTGTGTATTTCCTTTCTAGCATCTTTTAGAGAAATATCTGTTCAAGTCCTTTCCCATTTTTAACTTGAGTTATTGTCTTTATTATTTAGTTACAGCAGTTCTTTTTATATTCAGTATACAAGCCTCTTATTAGATATGTGATTTCTAAGTATTTCCTTTTTAGAAAATAAAATGACTATTTTATTCTACATGATGTCTTTGAAAACAAAAATTTTGTTTATTTTTTTATTGAGGTAATATTGGTTTCCAGCTCTATATGTGGTTCAGAGGCGGATGTATGTCATCACACCACATCCTGCACCAAAACGCCCTTAGTCCCCCATCTTAGCCCATTGTGCACCCTCCCCATTCCATCTTCTCCCCTCCCGCTCCTGTAGCCTCAGTTCCATATTCAGATTTCTAGGGTTTGTTATTGATTTGGTTTTGTGTTACGCTTTGTTTTGTGAAGCACAAAAGTTTTAAATTTTGAAAAAATCCATTTTATCTATTTTTTCTTTGGTTGGTTGTGGTGTCATAGCTAGGAAACCATTGCTTAATGTGTGCTCAAAATATTTCCTCCTATGTTTCCTTCTAAGAGTTTTTAGCTTTAGCTCTTACATTTGAGTTTTTGATTCATTGGGAGTTGAAGAGAGTGTGTGTATGTGTGTGTGTATATCATAAATATTTATGTGCTATATGTGTGTGTATATATATATGTGTATGTGTGTGTCTGTCTGTGTGTGTGTGTGTGTGTGTGAGAGAGAGAGAGAGAGAGAGAGAGAGAGAGAGAGAGGATTCAGCTTCATTCTTCTGTATGTGGATGTCCAGTACCATTTGTTGAGAATAATATTGTTTCCTCCATTGAATTGTATTGTTATTCTTGTCAAAATAAATTGACCATAAACAAAAGGGTTTATTTCTGGAGGCTTATTTTTAATAGACCTTTAATTTGTATTCCATATGTTTATCCTTATGGACTATACTATTTTGATTATGGTAACTTGATAGTAAATTTTGAAACCAGGAAGCCTGAATCCTTCAACTTTCTCCTTTAACAAGATTTTTTGGGGTATCCTGGATGACCCTACATTGCATGCATTACCTGTGAAATTTAGGATCAGCTTGTCAATTTCTGGAAAAAATTTTCCACCTGATATTTTAGTACGAACTGCTTTATCTCTGTATAATACCATCTTTAAATCAATGAGAGTGAGACGTATTTAGGTTCTTTAATTTCAACATGTTGCAGTTTTCAGTGTACAGGTCTTACATATCTTTTGTTAAATGTGTTCCTAGGAATTTAGTTCTTCTAATAGTATGGTAAGTGAAATTGTTCTCTTTATTTTTGAATTGTTCATTGCTAGTATATAGAAATACAATTGCTTTTCTTAGGTTGATCTTGTATCTTGCAACCTTGTTGGACTCATTTATTAGTTCTAATAGTTTTTTTTTTAATTTATTTATTTATGCAACCAAGAGCTGGGGTACAGGCCAGAAAAGGGGGGTTGAGAGGATTCACCAGAGACAGAGTGGGGAGCAGAACAGGCAGATTGACTGAAGTACACTGCTGAGTGGAGCAGCGGGCGAGACAGGAGAGGTCTGCTGTGCCATGTGGGTTGTTCCCTGGCCAGCCAGGGATGGAACTCATGCTGCAGAGGCTGTGGATTGCTTCATAGTGCAGTGCTCAACCCCTTGCGCCACCAGGCCCAGTTCTAATTGTTTTTTTTTTGTGTGTGTGTATTCTTTAGAATTTTGTATGAACAAGATAATGTCATCTTGTTCTTTATTTCTTTCTTTCCAATCTGACCACCTTTTATTTCATTTCCTTGACTGATTGGGTGGAGTGTCACGGATGTGTTCCAGAAATACCAACCAGCATGCCTGCAGTACTCTGCAAAAGTAGAAGAGGGATAGGAGATGAGATTGAAGGAATTGACTCAGAATACTTAGGGTCTTCAGACCATTCGGCTTTCACTCTAATTTGGACATCCAGTGAAGAGTTTTTAGCAAAGACTGACATGATCTGATATAGGTTTTAAAGGATCATTTAAAGGTTACAGTGGATCATTCTGGCTACTGTGTTGAAAATAAGCTATGTGTTAAAATATTAAAGCAGGGAGTCATGATAGGAAGCCCTTAGTAGGACCTCAGATGAGGAAGATGATGGTTTAGACCAGGGCAGTTGTAAGTTGAGGTAGTGAGAAGTACCTGTATTCTGGATGTATCTCGAAGATAGAACCAAAAGAAATTTCTGACAGACTGGATATTGCTTAGAGAGAAAAAGTAGAGTTATGGATGATTCTAAATAACTGGAAGAATGAAGTTTCCATTAATTTGTTGAAGAAGTTAAATATCATTTTATATAAAGTCTTTATAATAAAGACTGCAAGAAGTTTGAGTTTTAGTATTAGAAATGGTTACACTTTCCTCAAGAACTTGCTGCATTTGTATTTTTTTAGTATCTGCAAGGAAATGTGACTGTATTGGCTGCTGGAAGATAAAGAACTGCGTTTGTGTCTCTCGTGGCAAGTGTAGATATCTAAAGTAGATGTATTTTTTTAATTGACCTCACTAACATTTTACCTAGTTTTTATCTTTTCTATTTCCAATGTATTCTATGCTGTATATCCTCATATAACTCCTTAAAATCTTTTCAGAACAGGACAGGATTTGAATAAATCAAAGTGATTTATTTGCATTGTATGTCACCAAAAGCAAAGGTGGAGGTAACATGAATTTTTTTATTTTTTTTAAGATTTATTTATTTGTGCATACAAGAGCTGGGGCACAGGCCAGAGATGTGGGGGATGGGGGGGCGGTGAGAGGATTCACCAGAGACAGAGTGGGGAACAGAATGGGCAGACTGACTGAAATACACTGCTGAGGGGAGCAGCAGGCAAGACAGGAGAGGTCTGCTGCACCATGTGGGTTTCTCCCTGGCTGGGGATCGAACTCATGCTGCAGAGGCTGTGGATTGCCTCATAGTGCGGTGCTTAACCCCTTGCGACACCAGGGAGGCCCCAACATGAATTTTTTTAAAACTAAGCTGAGTCAGAACATCATCCTGAACTATAAATAAATGTTTTGCATGTAAAAATATTTCTATGAAATATATAAATGTATATTATTTTTATAAAGTTGAATGTCCTCTCAGTTCCTACAACTCTGCATTGTACATTCAATAATATTCACTGTGTATCCACTGTATATCAGGTGCTGTTCTAGGCACTTGATGCATAAGTTAAATCCTATTGTCAGAGAGCTTGTATTCTAGTGGGAGAGATACTGATGAAAAATTACACTTGTAGTAGATTAGTAAACTAAATAGTATATTAGAAGATGATATATACTACAGAAAAAAGTCAGGCATGATAAGAGAGGTTGGAGGTAAAGGGAATGGGGAGGGTTGGAGTGTGGGGCTTGCAGCATTAGCAAGGTCTGAATGGCCACATGGAGAAGGTGACATTACAGGAAGTGAGGGCATGAAGTTATATGCTCTCTGAGAGAAGAGCATTCCATCAGAAGGAATAGCAAGCAAAAGGTTCTAAGGTAGGAGCATACGTGACACTTTTAAGGAGCAGTTAGGCAGGCAGTGTGGAATTAAGTGAGTGAGATTAGTGGTAGGAAAGCAAGGTCAGAAAGGTGACAGGGTTAGGACACAAATTTTATAGAGCCTTGTTTAAAAGGAACACCATTGCAGAGTTTGAAGCGTAAGTATGGAATGATTTGATCATTCTGGCTATTATACTATAATTTTCAAGGGTATTGATGATTATTTCTGCAATTTTAGGTATATTACAGCTAATACTGACACAGAAGAACAGAGTTTTCCTGACCCGAAGGCATTTAACACACAAATAGAAGAATTAAATTTAGATGTCCTTCTTCAAAAGGCAGATAATTTACGTAAGAATGAGGCTAGTAAGATGGAGAGTTTTGAACTACTTTGTGACCACAAGGAAAAGGTAAGAGATACATGACAATAACATGTTTGTATAGTTTTTATTTTTATTTAATCTACTACCTCATTCATATTATGATTACAGCAAATGTGACATAAGCTGAATAGCTGATGCAAAATATTTGTTTAATATGACTAAAATTTTTGAAAAGTAAATGTGAATTCATTAGTCTCTAAGAGCTAGAAATATGATTATGCAGATTTACCGGTTATTTTATTCATTTGATATATACTTAATGACTTTTATAACAAAGAATAAGACATACTACTCTGGGTGAAGGAGAAACTGTATTTTAAGATTTCTGTCTTTTAGTTATTAATATAACAACTTAGCATTTACACACACTGAGTTAATCTGAAGTGCAATTCTACCTTTTCAGTTTAGAGATGAAATTGAGTTTATTTGGCGGCTTGCCCGTGCATATGGAGACATGTGTGAGCTATCTACAGATAGACAAGAAAAGAAACATTATGCTAATATTGGTAAGTGTTTTGTAAAGATTGATTATCCATATTCCACATTTATTGTCTATAATCCATAATGAATTTTAATTAAAGCTCAATTATCTTAGCTAAAACCAATATGTTTATTACAGTATTACCTGTTGCTGAAAAATGCACAAAGCCTTAGGACAGAAAGGTTTTTTTAAATACTAAAGTATATATTCTTTTAAAATATTTGTGCATATTATACTAGGCAACTGAAAAAGTCATTTTAGCCTTTAAAGCTTATAAAATCACAGAAAGAGAAGACATTCAGTGGTGATGTTTAAGAAGCAATAATAGGCAATTGTTTTCAGCAGTAGTCATTCACCAAAAGTAACCCTGTTACTAGAACTCCATGTAACACAAAGAAATAACTTCTCAGACTTCAATATTTTTCAGTTTATCTTGATAAAATGAAATGAGCCTTGAGTTGACATTTGTTTAAGCTGAATGATGAGTATATGGTAATTCGTTATATTGTCCTCTAAATTTTCCATAACAACAATAAAAAGAAAAGAAACAAAGAAAAAAGAAAAACAAGTATGTCAAATCTTGCTTTTAATTTTCATATATTGTATATACTTACTTGCTGCCTTCTCCACTGTGAACCCTTAGAAGTCAAGAACTGTATCCTATTTGACTTCTTATTCCCAGAGACTTATATAATATAGTACTTAGTAAACACTCAATGATGTTGCTTGAGTTAATTACAAAATTATCTGTGTAGGCTAAAAGGGAAAGAAATTCTGGATGGTCTCACTTACATGTAGAGAAACCAAACAAAGGGTCAAATAAAGGCAAACTATATAAAACTAATCTTTGAAAACTGACCATCTGAGGCATCCAAGTGGCGAGCAGGAGAGCAGACTTAAGAGGGAGCTGGGGAAGGGGTTGGGGGAAAAGGGGGGGTAGGGTAGAATACAGGGGACTGAAGCTGAGACTCTGCTTTTATGGTGGGAGAGCTACTATGACCACACCTAAGGGGAGAAATCCTATATTGTCAAAATATTAACAAGGATATAAAACAATGGTAATTCATTAATAAAAAAACTATTTCTGTGAAAGCTTTTAAATGATTGGATGACATTTTTACACTTGGTTAAATCACTTTGGTCAATGAATCTCAAAATTGAACATATATTAAACTCAACTAGAGGCTCATTAAAACAGCTTGAGTTCCAGATTTTGTGATCAAGGAGATCTCATGTTGTCAAAAATTCATGTCTTCTTACAAGTTTCCAGGTGACACTCATACCTCTAGTCTTGAAACTATACTTTGGGGAACCACTGACTTAATTCAATAATCTTCTTACCAGCTCACATGAAAGTACTAAGTATATGTACATTTATCTTATAGGGAAAACATTAGGTGAAAAAGCTATATCTAGAGCACCCATGAATGGATATTGTCATCTGTGGTAAGTACATAGAATTTGTGAGTCTCTTTAAATTCTGACATACCTCTTTATAAATGATAATTGACCCCTTTAATCTGTCCATCACATTCACTGAAACATGTATTTAGTAAATAGTCCAGTAACTGTTCTTGTTCTGTTTATTCTCATGTATTTTTCAGTATGTATATCTTAAATATATTTAGGTTAATTTTCACTGAAGATTTCATAAATGAATCTACCATATTCAGTGACTTTGTATGTAATAAATTCTAATTAAATCTAATTTAATATAACATTTTGTTTGACAGCAAATACTAAAATGATATCATGTTTCTAAATAAAATATAGGGAGAATGCTTCAAAGAATAAAAGCACATTAGCCTCTTCTTATACCTTCATGAGTAGGATATACAAATTTCACAGGGCAAAGACAAGCCATTTATAATGTAAGAAAGATTTAAAAAAGGGAATTTCATTACTTAAATGGGTATAGGTGAATGTCTTAGAGGGAAAAAATTATTGAATGTATGTTTTAGTTTAAATCCTTTGTATATTTAGAATTGTAAAACATAAATAAGAAATATGTTGTTTTCAATTAATGCTTCCTTTTACCTGTATTTCCATGTATATAATGTTTTTTTAGTTTCTCAGTTGTTTTTTTACTCCTGAGTAATACAGGTACACTTGCTGCTTAGGAAGATAACATTAATTTATCCCCCTTCCCTCAGCCCTAGGTTTCCAGAAATGCACCCCAGTTTGAAATTATTTTATTTCTCTGGGGCACTCTTAGGCAGAACCTCTCCCAAAGGCTCACTTTCTATAAGACCACGTTTCTCCTAGGAAAAATTTTATTTTTGCCCCACCAAAGTGAAGTGCAAACCAGTTTCCAAAACAGACCTATTTCTTTACTCTGCTACCAGCAGGGGGAGCTCCACTCATAAACTCTTATCTTAAAAGCTTTCCTGGGCAGGAGTCAGGTGTGTAACCCTTTTTATGTACCCTAAACACCACTAAACACATGCCAAAATAAGATTATCTTTTGAAACCATCTTCACTTGACCTAAGGTGAAATGCAAGTCTAGCCCCAATTATCTCCCATGAAAAGGTAAATGGTGGAATCCGTAAAATCCTAACAATTCTATCAACAGAAATTCTCCCTCCAGGTCTGTTCCTTCCACAGTGAATTCTTTGTGCTCACATAGCCTATAGCCAGAGATAGGTGAAGGGTAAGCTTGGCAGAACCTGTGAATCATTTCTTTAGTGTGTCATGTATGGGTACTGTGTTTGTGTGTGTGTGTGTACACACACCATGTTACCACATCTTTATTCACTCACTCATCTACGGACACAGGTTGTTTCGATATCTTAGCTATCATAAATAATGCTGTAATGGGCATAGGGGTGTATAAATATCTTGAAATCCATTTAATGAGAACAAATTATGAGAAAAATTACTATTAATTCTCTTAGAGAGTTTTTTAGTCTGTCTTTCCCAGTCTGGCTACTTCTTCTTTGTTCATCTTTTTGTTCTGAATTAACTTCCTTGTTTATAACTGTGGGGTTTAATCTAAAGTTATATCTTACTGATCACACAGAGTAATGATCCAATTGTCTTTCATATGATTTCTTATTTAGTATTAGTTTTTTATTTAAAAATAGTAAAGTCGGGTCTCCCCTGGTGGCGCAGGCTGTTGAGCACAGCGCTGTGAAGCTGTCTGCAGTCTCTACAGCGCCAGTTCGATCCCGGCCAGCCAGCAAGGGTCCCACATGGTGCAGCAGACCTCTCCTGCCACGCCCGCTGCTCCCCTCAGCAGCGTATTTCATCAGTCTGCCTGTTCTGTTCCCCGCTCTGTCTCTGGTGAATTCTCTCACCCTCCTGTGCATCTGGCCTGTACCCCGGTTCTTGTATAAATCAATCAATCAATCAATCAATCAATCAATCTTTTAAAAATATAATTAAGTCTACTCAGTTAACACTAAATTCAAATTTCAATTTTACCTTAATTCATAGAGCTTATTATAATGTGTCTACTGAATATAAGAGTTCTCATTCCATAAATAGTGGAGGTTTAAAGTGATGAAAAAAGAAAGAAAAACTTTGACTTAAGAAACAATGGATGAAATTTAGGTTAATTATAATAAAATGTCGAGAAAAGATCTTGTTCTGCTGGAATCTTTCTTAATATGTTAAGATATTTTTTCTTTCATTCAACATCACAAATGTTGACAAACTGTAGCCTATAAGCATAGTGACAAAGTCGAGTACTTATAACAGACTCTTTGACCCTAAGATTTAAAATGTTTGCCATCTAGCCCTACAGCAAAATTTTGGTTTATAAGGTTATGTCATAGTTTATATGCCCTCAGTTTGAAATAAAAGATGCAGAGTTTATGAGTAGTTACTATAAAGGATTGACATTTGGGGGAATAACTGAAAAACAAATACCATTTTAAAGACTTGTTTTTCATCTTCATCTTTTCTAAAGCAGAATTGCTTTGTATATGAGCTGTATCAGCTTTATCAACTTTCAATAAGATCCTATTGTTTTTGTTGCACCAGCCTAAAATACTCCTAAAATCAAGAGAGTGAGATCACCAATAGATTGCAGTTTTTTGGCAACAGGCTTGTCTCTTGTGCTTTTCCCTCTCTCGCTTTAACCCTTCTTCCTCCCCTTCCCCTGCTGTGTGTCTCAAGTTATAGTTTGCCTGCTAGTTTTCTTTTTTCCCCCATTTTATGGCTAGAGTAGATAAGGCAGTGTGCTTGTGTGTAGGGTGGTAAGGAGGGCTACTCATAACCAAGGATCAAACAAGTGGAAAAACAAAATCCAGTTCTGGGATTCTCTGGTGGCACAGGGGGTTGAGCGCAGCACTGTGAAACTGTCCGCAGCCTCTGCAGTGCGGGTTCAATCCCAGCCAGCTGTGGAAATACCCACATGGTGGGGCAGACCTCTCCCATCTCACCCGCTGCTCCCTTCAGCAGTGTTTTCGATCCATCTGCCTGTTCTGCTCCCCGTTCTGTCTCTAGTGAATCTTCTCACCCTCCTGCACCTCTGATCTGTACTCCAGTTCTTGTATGCATAAATAAATAAATCTTAAAAAAAAACAAAAACAAAATCCAGTTCTTATATTCTTACATACTGAGTGTCCCTTCTATACAATAGTCTTTCTCTGCTTTCTTGCAGTATAAATAGCATTGACGCTGAATTGTCTTTCTTACTACTACAGGAAGCTAATGAGGTTATTCCAGCAGTTGTTGAAACAGGATGTTTGTCAATTATTAAAGATATAGTTCAATATCAATACAAAGAAAATACAGAATTTTTGTGAAAGCTTAGTTAGAATGACCTCTAGATGGAGGTAATAGACCATATAGTGAATCAACTTCCTTCAGAGTTCCCATCAACCTGAGAGTTTATGAAATACAAATTACAATCCCATTTTTTAAATGAAAAATACATAAAAATAACTCATGCATGCACACACATGTGTGTGCACGCGCACACACACACTGAAATGGGCGAAATTAATTGCCAGAAAAGTGATCATTCTTTGAGGAAGAGAGGTCAGGTAAACTCTGAATTTATCATGTGTAGAAAGATAAATAATATTTTAGACTATTAAGAAGCATATTTTAAAAAGATTATGAAAAACTATAAGTCCCTAGTGAAGTTTTTTTATAAGAAAAAAATACAAATTTCATATAAAGGTATTCATAGTTCATGGATTTTTTTCATCACTCAGAAACTTGGAGAGAACGTGCTGAGAGAGCAATATAAGAACAATATAAGAACAATACTAGCAATATAAGATTGACATAACTAGTTCTGATTTTCAGAAAATAGAGGATTGATGACCACTAACGATGAGTGAACATGTGCTCTTCTGTGATTCCAGCAGTCAGCTAGATTGTTCTTTGAATTTCTGGATGAAGATATTCAAATAGACCCAACATAAGATATTTCTAAAAATGTGACATGCTCTTTTACTTCTTTACTAGTAGATAGAATAGGGAAATTGAGCTCTTATATCTATATTTAAGCAAAGCATCAAGGTAAGTTCACATATAAATTCTTGTGGACAAATGTGTGGAAATATGGGCAAGCAACTGCTGGCTTGTCCATGACGATGGAAAGTTTGGAGCCAAGTTATTCAGCAGAATAGTTTTGGCTATCTCATTGTCAATATAGAAATAAGTCTAGGATTCCAGGATGAATATCTTACGTAGTAGTGTACTCAGTAATTTTTTCGGGTAATGAAGATTTTGAAAGCATGCTTATAAAACTTGCAAATAACACAAAACTGGGGGGAAAGGCATTTGATGGGTGATAATAGCAATTCAAAATTTTTTCACGTGTTGAAAAAGATACATAACCAGGTGTAAAGTAATAGGAATAAGTGTGGAAGGAAGGATGGAGAGAAAAATGTCAAAATGTAAGAACATTAAGAAAAAACAAATAGAGGGGCCTCCCCGGTGGCGCAGCGGTTGAGCGCTGGGTTGCGAAGCTGCCGGCGACCTCTGCGGCGCAGCGGTTCGATCCCCAGCTGCTCCCCGGCCACCGGAGGAGGGTCCCACATGGCGCGCAGACCTCTCCTGCCGCCCGCTGCTCCCCTCAGCAGTGTACTTCGGTCCTTCTGCTGCTCTGCTCCCCACTCTGGCTCTGGTGAATTCTCTCGCCCTCCCGCGCTTCTGACTGTACCCAGTGCATGTATAAACAAAACAAACAAACAAACAAATAAATAAATAAATAAAAACATGCCTCTATAAATAAAAAAAAAATGTGAAAAAAAATCTTTTTTAAAAAAAAAAAAAAAAAAAAAAAAAAACAAATAGAAATTTGAATAAAGTGTAGAGATCACTTAGTAATGTTTTAACATTGGTTCATTGAAAAATTATGTACTGCTATCATATGTCAACATGTGGTAATGTAGTAAATGTACCATAGCCTGTAAGGTATAAACAGTGGAGGAAACTGGGTGTGGGTCTACAGGGACTCTGTTCTGTCTTTACAACTTTCCCGTGAATCTCAAGCTATTTTAAAATAAAAGTGTTTCTTTTTTTTTTTTTTTTTAAGATTTATTTATTTATTCATACAAGCACTGGGTACAGTCAGAAGCATGGGAAGGTGAGAGAATTCACCAGAGCCAGAGGGGAGGAGTGCAGAGCAGGCAGACTGACGAAGTACACTGCTGAGGGGAGCAGTGGGCGGCAGGAGAGGTCTGCGCGCCATGTGGGACCCTCCTCCGGTGACCGGGGAGCAGCCGGGGATTGAACTGGCGCTGCAGAGGCTACGGGCAGCTTCGCAACCCAGCGCTCAACCGCTGCGCCACCGGGGAGGCCCAAAAGTGTTTCTTTTTTAAAGTGGCTTAAGGTTGGTTTTAAGCTCAAAGAATTTGGGAAATGGCGATTCCCATATCAAAAAATGAGGAATTTAAGGATGCAGTTGTGTGAAATTTTGCTCCCCCATCTGGAACTCTGGGAGGAATGACAGAACAGAATGACAGAGTCTTTCAAAAGAACACAGGGCAGCCGAAGGTGATGCTAGCGGTTTTCACAAGGGACCTCAACAGTCAATTCCAGCAGTCTTTCCTTAAAAGTTCAGTCTCTGGTAGGTGCAGACAAGTTTGTGAAATACAGTCTGATTTTAGAATTTGTAAGAAGTAGTAGTATTTCCTGATCTGGCTACATTCTTGGATCATCTTTAATAGGTTAATTTAGTCATCATTTTTGCTCCTAGAATAGAAGACTTTTTGGTTATAAAGAAATTGGAAATTAAGAGGTCAAAAAAGTCATCACTGAAAATGGTCGACTAATTGGTTGTGTATAAAATGAATGAAATTATGTGATCTTTGGTGTCCAGGAAGGGTCTTCTGCTCTAGATTAAAAAATTGTAATTTTTGTACCTAAAAGTTATGCTTATCAAGATACTCAAAATTACATCTCCTATTTGCTGTTATAATAATGCAAGTGAAAATTAACACCTACTCTTAAAATAATTCCAGTAGGGCCTCCCCGGTGGCGCAGCGGTTGAGCGCTGGGTTGCGAAGCTGCCCGCGGCCTCTGCGGCGCCGGTTCGATCCCCGGCTGCTCCCCGGCCTCCGGAGGAGGGTCCCACATGGCGCGCAGACCTCTCCTGCCGCCCGCTGCTCCCCTCAGCAGTGTACTTCGGTCCTTCTGCCTGCTCTGCTCCCCGCTCTGGCTCTGGTGAACTCTCTCACCCTCCCGCGCTTCTGACTGTACCCAGTGCATGTATAAACAAAAAAACAAACAAAACAAATAAAATAAATAAATAAATAAAAACATGCCTCTATTAAAAAAATAATAAATAAATATAAAATAAAATTTAAAAAAAAAAAAAAATAATTCCAGTAAATGAGTATTTTGCCTCAGAAAGAAACACCATGAAATAATTGAAGACCTTTGCACAAAAACACTCTGAATGTGAAAAGTAATATATTCCCGGTATTTAGAGTAAGCAAATTGTTGAACAAATATTGCACCCAATTTACAGTCAAATAATTATATCAATTTTGTGTTCCCAATGGAAAAAAGAAAGCTTTACAAAAAATCCATGGGATACCCTTTTCTAGTTATGTACTGAGGGATTGAGGCACATGGGGGATTTTTTTGGAAAAGTATATTTTAAAGTTATCTTTAACTTTTCCTCATTTTTAGTCATGATATTTATTTTATTTTCAAATGACATTAAAGGAGACCATGACATCATTATTGACCTCATGTTAATATTAAGTATTTATTGTTGTTAGCGTCCTGGCACCTATATGAATACTTTGTTAAACATTAATGAATGTCAAAAATTCACACAACACCCACTGTTTCTTTTCCTTTGCAGGTATGCAGTTTTATGTGGCCACGTATCTGAGTTTGAGAGCTTACAAAACAAAGTGAACTATGGACAGCACTTCAAGGTATTTCTTGATATTAAAAATGTATTGGTGTAGCTTCATGTTCCACTAACAGGTATTAATCAAATGATTCAACAAATTAACTACTAGTTACTAATCTTTGATTACTCAGAGCTATTCTGCTTGAATTATTTTTTTCTTTAAATGAAATGGCAGTCTTTAAATAGTATTGTGACAAAAAGAATTAAAACTGTGGGTGATTTAAGATGATCATTTTAGATCCTGAACGAAGTCACATAGTGTATGGGTATTATTTTTTTCAAAGACAGAGGATTAGCTTATTTTTCACGAGATCCTCACCATCATAATTAGTTAATATTTTCCACATGTTGACTTGGTGGGAAAAGTAGAATCCCCATCAGAAGTGCCCTGTAGGGATGGACAAAGAATTCTTTGCTTTCCAGCTTCCTATAACCATTTTGACAACACCAGGTGAGTAGTTTCCTCTCCCACCTAGTTCTGCTGTTCTTTCCTCCATTATACGCTAATCATTTGCTATGTGTAAGTTTGCCTCTGAATCAGTAAGTGTTATCTAGGCAAATTATGGATGAACATTTGCCTTGGATGTTTTCTGTTTTTATAGTAACATTTTGGCTTTAAATTATCTGTAGCCTAATTAAATCATAGTCACAGTTCTGGTTCTAGCTGCGAGCAATTGTTTTTGAGAATTGAATTATTGGTAAGACTTCAATTAATGATGGGGTTTGGGGGGGAGGATGAGACAGCACTGTAAAGCCCCTGTGAATTCACTGAGTGCACTTCTATCCAATACTTCCTGTAACTTGGGAGATGATATTTCTTTTGCATTTTCTTTCAGGATCATCTAGATAAGGCAATCTTATTTTTACCTGAAGAACCCTTTTTGTATTACCTCAAGGGAAGATACTGTTACACTGTAAGTTAAATACTTTTATCTATAAATTTTATTTGAGTATACTAAGATTACGTATTTTCAATGGCTTTTGCTTTACCAGATGCCAATGGTAGGGAAAATTATAAACTCAATACATATTTGATGAGTTTATAATTTGTATACTAATGTGATTTGATGTATTTTGTCCTTACTACAGCAGTCACATGCTTCCTTTGTGCTCTCTCCTCTGCATTTGTGATGTGCACCCTGGACTGGAGCACTCATCTCCATTTTGTGGGAGGGATTTTTTTCATTTATCAGACTATATTGAGCATAAATTATGTGCTCACTTGTGTTAAGGTTAATAAAACACTGTCCTTGTCTTCAAGGAACTTGAAGGGGATGAGAGATGCAATGAATTAAGATAGATGCTAAGTTGAAGGCCCAGAGTCTTAAATGACTTTAGTTTACGGAATGTTAGCAGAATGTGAAAATGTGTGTTGAGATTTATGAAAAAATTACCTTGAAGAGAAATGCTGTTTCTGAATGAGAAAATTAGGGCAGGCAAGAAAAGTCTTTTAAATAGTCTTGAAAGCGATAAAGAATAAATAAAGAAGGAAGATCGTTTTTATTGATCACCTATGGTGTGCATTTAATACTTGATATTTCTTATTTTATTTAGTACTTCTAATAGTGCTATAAATATTTTATATTATTCCAGCTTTAAATATTAAGAATCTGAGTCTTCATGAAGGTGGGTAATGCCCCCTAAGATTTAAAAACCGTCGACTCAACATCACATGAGTCTAGTAGTTAAACATATATTATTTATTTAGGCTTAAAAATGCCAAGAAAGAAATTTTAATTCAAAATGAATCCTAATCTTCAGACCATAGATAAATGGCAGAAGCTAAACCTCCTGGAGGAACACACCTTCTCAGAGTTATAAAGTTGTAAAAGTCTTGCAGCATGGCCTTGCATTGATGAGCTCACAGTCAGAAGTAGAGGAATACAAGAGGAAATAAGATGTCAGAATGACAAGTCAACAGAAGCGAACAAAAAAGAACAGAAATAGACCTAAACATATTTCAGATTTTGGAAACACAGAATACAGAATTTAGACATCTATGGATCATGTTTCAAAAAAATTAGAAGAATTAAGAGGAAAAAAAACAAGAAGTATGAAACTATAAAAATGTCAAGGAAAATTTAAAAAATGATGAAACAACTTTTTATATAAAAAGTATATTAATTGACAGTAAAAGAAAACTCAGTGGAAAGGTTTAATAGTACATAGCCACTCCTTAAGAAAGAATTCATGAACTCTCAGTCTAAAAATGTTACCTGGAATGTTGTCCAGAGAAACAAAGAGATGGAAAATATGAAAGGAAGAATTAAAAAAAGACATGGAAGTGAAGTAAGGATACCACTAGTGGTAAATTTTAGGTAACTAATAAGACAAGAAACAAAAAAAATACATAAAACTTTGGAACCTCACATTTAATCATCTTGATCTAATAGACATCTATGAAAATATGTATCTAATCATTAAAGGGTACATGTTTATGTGGAATGTTTTCTAAATTCGACTTTATGTAAGGTCGTAAAGCAAGTCTTAATACATTTCAAAGAATTGATATACAGGGTTTCTGATCATAATGCAATTAGAAATAAAAAGGCAAAGCAACAAACATACATCTTGAAATTGGATATCATGGGAAAGGATAATTAAAAACCAAAAGGAGATGCTATTTTAGTCTTACCCATTGGATAAAATTTAAAAGTATCTATGTGAGATAATTTCTTTTGGAGATGCTGCTCTTTGGATCAGGTTGGGAGCATGAAATAGGCAAGAAGAGGGCAAAGGCGGGTCTTAACAGCTACTGCACTCTGTGCAGAGAATCACCGTGTGCTCATCTCAGATTCACCATCAGAACAAACAAAATCAGCATTACTTCCTACCCCTCCCCTTTTCTCTGATTGAATACAAATCTTCTTATGTGTATTTCCAATAGGTTTTTTAACCAGTGGTCTTTGAGTTAGTTTGTCAGAATTGTGGAAAAGAAAGACAAAATATGACAAAGGCAATAAATCTCATATATTTATTATTTATGAATATGTTTCTGTATATTATATGATGTACATACATATATACATACCTAACTTGGAAATGATTATTTATTCAAATGGTGAACAACTTTCAAAAAGTGATGCTGCTCTATATTTGCAGGTCTCAAAACTGAGCTGGCTTGAGAAAAAAATGGCTGCTACTCTGTTTGGAAAAACACCATCCTCAACTGTAGAAGAAGCTTTGCAAAATTTCCTTAAGGTATATTTTGCCTGTCAGTTATTTGAGTGCCAGACTGGCTGCTCTCTCCACCTGTCCCTCCTACCTTTGTTAATGAAATCTTTCTCCTCTCATGAGTAGACCTCTTACTGAAGCCACAGTTTGAACCCTATGTTTGGCATGTTCTGTTCGAGGGCTCTTGTAATGTGTTTTAAATCCAAACTATTTCTCAGTGCTTCAGGCTACACTCTAGGTCCTAGGTGTGGCAGCCCTGACTACCAAATCCAAAAGCAGCTCTCCAGGTCATGGGAGTATGTGCAAGAGCATTCATGCCCTGATTATTAGACTTAGGTCCAAAAATTCTTGATGAGGCTAATATGGAGACAGTCTAATCTTAAGGAACTAAAGGATGCAAAAGGAAGAGTTATTTCGTAAACCACTTCATAAATTGCAAACAGTTCTCTGGAACATTCTTGGAGCATCAAACCAAGCCAGCATTTTTATTCCTGTTTTAAAATGTATAATTGCTATGCTATAAAACTGCCTAGTAATATGTGTGGTGCACACATGCAACTATATACACATCCATATAATCAACTTCCTATTGGGCTAATCCTGTCCCCTTTCCAGGGAACCAATTATAGAATCTTGAAAGATGTCTTTTCTTTCCCTTCCTACCTATTTCAGATTTGTAACCATATAGACAAAATTAGGCCCTGATGGTATTGTCCACCACATTGTACTTGGTGATATTTTTTTGTTGTTGAGTATCAATTTTGTAGAACTGAGAGGGAATTGAGCTACCATACAGTCTCAGAGTGTAAATGAATTTCCTCATACTTCTCTGAGCTAGCTACTGGCTTCTCGAGTGCTTAGTGGAAAATTTAGTGTGCTGAGATCGAGCACAAAAGAGTTCTAGGACGATCCTTTTCTTATTTTTTATTTAGTATGATCCTTTATGTTAAAAAAGAAAGGAAATCAAGACCATAAGAACTTAATTTTTTCGAGTGTCACACAAAAATCTACAAAAGAATGAAGTTTGTGACTGCATCATCCCCATATTTTCACTTTCTACCACTGAGAATTAATAGTTCACTTTAAATGTTATAAGACTACAGATCATGGTATATTTGAGATAAATGATTTATAAAAGATGCTAAATTATAACAAATTAAATATTTCTTCATAATATCAAAGTTATAATGGGGAAGGGGGTCATATTTTCAATACACTGCACAAAAGTTCTCTTTTTTTTTAAGATTTATTTATTTATTTATACAAGCACTGGGTGCAGTCAGAAGCACGGAAGGGTGAGAGAATTCACCAGAGCCAGAGCGGGGAACAGAGCAGGCAGACTGACGAAATACACTGCTGAGGGGAGCAGTGGGCACCGCTGGAGAGGTCTGTGCACCATGTGGGACCCCCGCCGGGGATCGAACCATTGCTGCAGAGGCTGTAGGCAGCTTCGCAGCCCAGCGCTCAACCACTGCACCACCAGGGGAGGCCCTGCACAAAAGTTCTCAAGGTTCTTACAGACCTGAAATATTATAAGATAAAATCAAGTTATTAAGAGGCAGAATAATGTAGAAATAGAGTGGAAGCTCTGGAAACTCTGGTATCCCAGTTCTACTACTTACTGACTGATTAATATTGGGCAAGTTACTTAGCACCACTCTCTCTCTCTTCCCCAACCCCTCTCTCTCTCTCTAATCAATAACATGGAGATAATAGTACCTGCCTCATAGTGTTGCTGTGAAGATTAAATAGGTTAATAAAAGTAAATTGCTTAGTAAGTGCTCGATAAATCCTGTAGACTGTTAGCTTTATTAAAATGTAAACACCATAACTAACCATCTTGGGGACCTTGACTTAAACTCTGTCTGAAAAATCCATTCCAAGGTGCTTGTCAAAAGAGAGTGAGAAGCACCAGGAATGCTGCTCCCATACTCCCTGCAACAAATTGAGAGTAAAACTGAAATGGAGAAACATTCACCTTCTAATTTTGGAAATTCCTGGACTGTTTGTGTCTTGTAAAACAAGCAATTTTTTTTTATAGCTTTTTTTTTTTTTTAAGATTTTTTTATTTATTTATTTATACAAGCACTGGATACAGTCAGAAGTGCAGGAGGGTGAGAGAATTCACCAGAGCCAGAGGGGAGAGCAGAGCAGGCAGAAGGACCGAAGTACACTGCTGAGGGGAGCAGCGGGCGGCAGGAGAGGTCTGCGCGCCATGTGGGACCCTCACCTGGTGGCCGGGGATCAAACCGGCGCTGCAGAGGCTGCGGGCAGCTTCGCAACCCAGCGCTCAACCACTGCGCCACCGGGGAGGCCCAAAACAAGCAATTTTTGTAAATATTTTACAGGTTCTCTAGGGTTCTGCATCCCTCTGGGTGGGGCAGGATCAGGTTGGGAGCAGACTTGCCTTCCATTTATAACTGCAGAAGCTCACTGTGAGGCACAAGCTGGCTTAGGGTCCCAGGAGAGCCCTCTGGTAGCAGTGCCATATACCGGAAAGAATTCTTAGTTACCAGTGATAAAGAAAAGGAACTGGTACACTAAAAATTAGTAGATGAGGAGTAAAGTACTTCATAGTATTCTCTTGTTAAAATCTATAAGTAGCTCTATTACTTGTTTTAAGGATTTCTCTTTTCCATGAAAGTACTTGCTATCTTGGACTTCATAGTATTCAACTAAAGTGGAATGTGTTGAAATAATAAATCAAATATTGATGTCGTGGAAGATATTGGCCATGTGACATCAGTCATGCTCCACTCCAGTTTTCTGTGTAGACTATGAAATGCCCATAGCTTGTTCTTGGGCATGTGTAGCAGCAGTTGGCATTGTTCTTAAATGGAAAAAAGGGAAAGCATAGAGATGGTTATACAAAGGAACCCCAAAGCCTTAGAGCATCTCATTGCTTTGTCAACTTTTTGACCATAAAAGTAATTTCACTTTAATGGATAAAGTCAAAAGCTACGTTTCTACCCAAAGTATACTTGAAATAAGATAATTTAGATATGGGGGGGCCTCCCTGGTGGCACAAGGGGTTAAGCACAGGACTATGAAGCAATCCTCAGCCTCTGCAGCATGAGTTCAGTCCCCGGCTGGCCAGGGAGCAACCCACATGGTACAGCAGACCTCTACTGACTCGCCTGCTGCTCCCCTCAGCACTGTACTTTGGTCAATCTGCCTGTTCTGTTCCCCACTCTGTCTCTGGTAAATCCTCTCACCCCCCGCATCTCTGGCCTGTACCCCAGCTCTTGTATGCATAATTTAGATATGATAAAACCAACCCAAATTCTGATACAATTTGCCTATTGTTTGATTTAGTGAACCATATCCTCTTCAGTGGCTACTACTATTGTTTTAATATTGCCCTGTTATTCTCTTTTCTCTTAAAATCAGGTTGAAGAACTAAACCCTGGTTTTTCTAAGTCCAACTACATGTACTTAGCCAAGGTAATGAAAATCACTATTTTAAGACCACTTTGAGTCCATTACATAAAAATGTGATTATCATTATATTGATTTTTTTTTCTAGTGTTATATAGATCTTGAACAGAAAGCTGAGGCTTTGAAGTTCTGTAACTTGGCATTGCTGCTGCCTTGTGTTACCAATGAGGTAAGTCCAAACAGTGACAATGGTGCTCTTGCCTTTTCAGTGCTATTCCAGTGTCAGACACCATCCACTGACTTAGATACATATGAAGTCTTCCTTTTTATGTTTTACTAAGGTAACATTTGTTTTTAGCAGTATGTTTCAGGTGTACATCATTGTAAATCAGCATCTGTATATACTATGTTACAATCACCAGGGCCTGGGCTCTCCAGTCTCAGACTGCCACCTCCATATGTGCCTCTGCACCCACCTTCCATCACACATGTGCTTGGATCTCTCCCTTCTGATGCAGTCTGTTTTGGTCTCTGAGGTGCAAATAAATAAACAAAACAAATAATAAAGTCTTAAAATCTGACAGTGAAATCAGAGGGAAGGGGTTGGGGAAAGGAATAGGTGGAAGGGGTAAATGGATGTTGGTCTATGGTAAATAGACCCTTGGTGGTGGGCATGCTTTGGTAGATATGTATTAAGGTGTGAAACTACACTGCTGAAACTTAAATAGCATTGTAAGATAATTGTTACTCAATTTAAAAATGAAAGTTTCCCACACATACCCCTAAAAAAATACATATGGTATCCTACAAAGCACATTACATAATTTAATCTTAAATATAAACTCCCTGATAAAGTCAGTATTGGAGTGTGGATTTTTCTGGAGGCTCAGATCTCTTCAAATCCTGCTGCTAGGGCTAGTATTACCTCCACATCTTAGTGTTGAAAGAGAAAGCAGTGTTATCCTTAACACGCCAGTAAGATGTAGTGAGTCAGCTTTCCTGGAAGGCTCTCCTTCCTGTGTTCCACCACTCCAGGCCTGGTAGAGGAAAAATCTGGAAAGAATTCCCTACCTTATCCCAATTCACAGAGATCTGAATCATGTCTGCTCCTTAGAAATTCCCAGTTACTTTCTAATGGTCTTTCAAAACATCCCCTCACTCAACAAAGGCCTGTCTCAAAGAACCTAGAGTATCAGGACAAATGTGATGTTTCACCATGTATATATTTTTTTTATAGGATAAGGATATACAGAAAATGGTGGAAAAAATGATCACTTCCTTGAAGAGGTAAATAAAAGAACTTACTCTTCAACAAGTCAGACATGGTCTACTAAAGGTTAAATTAATTAAAATTCTGGGTTATTTTTTATTATCCTTTTTCTTTTTGATGTAATAGTAATGTGCTCAGATGTAAAGGTAAAACCAATCTCTGCATTCAGTAGCACTACAAAACTAATCATGTTTTTTGGAGAATTCTATTTCCTATAATGTTAGTACAAAATGATCTTTACAAATGTATGCTTTAAATTTTTTCCTATCAATAAACAGTAGTCTTCAGTATATTTCTTTAAATAAAATATTTAAATTAGTGCAATGAAATGAACTCTGGTGAGTTATTGTTGCTTCAGTGGAAATTTTACAAAAGAAAATCATTTCATTAAAGTTGATGAAGAGTGGGGAAAAAATGGGAAAGGCCATGAACTGGTTACTGGTAGAAGAGAAAAAGTAAAGGAGATATATCATAATTAATAATGAGGAAGATTATTAATTTTTCTGTGAAATTTAATCAGTGAAATTATAATAACCTGCTGTTTTACTTTCAAATTAGCAGAGATTTTTTTTTTCTTTCAAGAAACATTCAGTGTTGGCAATGATGCTGTGAGGTGGACATTCTCATATGTTGCTGGTGAGGGAGTTTATTTTGACACAAACATTTCATAAAGTGTATCCAGAACCTTAAAAACATATTACCTCCTTACTCTCACAATTTCATTTCATGGAAATAATCCTAAAAATAAAAAGTACAATTATTTATACACAGATTCACAACAGCATTATTTGTTACAGAAAAAACACTATGTCCAACAATATGAAAGCAGTTAATCATATTAGACTATAACTACATTGAATTATTTTGACATTAAAAATAATTACAGAAATGTTATAAGAAAATGCCTGAGAATCTGAAGTGCAAAGATAAGACAAACTATTATATACATATCATCTCAACTATATGAAAATGTGTGTAGAAAAGGATCTATTGAAAATATCCTCAACTCTCCCAGATTTCAAGCTATAGTACAAAGCCATAATAATCAAAACTGCATGGTATTGGAACCAGAACAGACACATGGACCAATGGAACCGAATAGAAAACCCAGAAATAAACCCACAGATTTATGGTCAACTAATCGTTGACAAAGGAGCAAAGAATATGCACTGGAGCAAAGAAAGTTTGTTCAATAAATGGTGCTGGGAAAACTGGGTCGCTACATGCAAAAGAATGAAACTTGACTACTACCTCACACCATGCACAAAAACCAACTCAAAATGGATTAAAGAACTAGACATAAGACCTGAAACCATAAAATATATAGAAGGAAATATAGGTGAAACACTGCATGACATGCACCTCAAAGACATCTTTACAGACACATCACCCAAAGCAGTGATAGTGAAGGCAAAGATGAACAGCTGGAACTACATCAAATTAAAGAGCTTCTACACAGCAAAAGAGACAATAACCAAAACAAAGAGAAACTGGGAGAAAATTGTTTCTCCCACCAACTGGGAGAAAATTTTTGCGCACAACACTAATGATAAAGGACTGATCACAAAATCTACACAGAGCTGAGGAGAATCAACAAAAACAAAGAAAATAACCCAGTCAAAAAATGGGCAGAAGAGCTAAAAAGAAACTTCTCCAAAGAGGAAATGCAAATGGCCAATAGGCAATGAAAAAATGTTCAACATCACTTGTAATCAGGGAAATACAAATCAAAACTACAATGAGATACCATCTTACACCAACGAGAATGACACATATTAAAAAAACTAGCAACAACAAATGTTGGCAAGGAGGTGGAGAAAAAGGAACTGTCCTGCATTGCTGGTGGGAGTGCAAACTGGTCCAACCACTATGGAGAGCTGTGTGGAGATTTCTGGACCTACTAAACATAGAGCTTCCATATGATCCAGCAATTCCACTCCTAGGTATTTACCCAAAGGACACAGAAACATTAATTCCAAAGAGCACCTGCACTCCTATGTTTATAGCAGCACTATTTACAATAGCTAAGCTTTGGAAACAACCCAAATGCCCAAAAATAGATGACTGGATCAAGAAGATGTGGTACATGTACACCATGGAATATTACTCAGCAATCAAAAAAGATAAACACATGCAGTTTGCGGCAACATGGATGGAGCTGGAAGGGATCATGCTCAACGAAATAAGCCAGAAAGAAAAAGAAAAATACCAGATGGTCTCACTCATAGCAGGAATCTAGAAAACCTAAATAAGGGACCAGGAAAAAGAATAACTATGAGAAAGAAAAAATCAAAATCAACATACAACTATGAACCAGAGACACACTATAGGGGGGTCAAAATAAGGGGGGTGCAATTGTATGGGGAATATAAAAATTTAAAAAATTTTAAAAAAAAGAAAATATCCTCAACTGTAGCAGTTTATATTTCTGTGGAGTCCTGTTTTTATCTTACACCTCCCAACTTTTAATAAACTAAAAGGCATTTTTAAATTTAACTTAGCTCTCAGTGACCTATAGAGTGCCCATTATTCTTTAACCAGCATCATCCTGGAAATCAGGTCAAAATTGTATTTCCTGTTTACTATCCCAAATACATGGATATGCAAGCACACAAGCACACACATGCACATACACACAATTTCAAGCTGTCACCTAGTGATACCAATTAATCAAACTGAGCTACTCTCATCTTCTATAATAGTCTATCAAGATACCTGAATCAGTACACTGAGTCCAACCCACTTTCCTCTGACAAATGACCTAATACTGAAACTGCTGGTTAAAAGGGGCAAAAGTGTTGCAGTTCCCCTCACATCTACACAGTGAACTTACATATCCCTCTGCCTAGCTCCAAACAGTTAAAAGAATGTGCAAGTGGAGACAGGTGATGCAAACTGGCAGCAAATGACCCAGAACCAACCACATTGCAGGCTTTGCAGGAGCAGCTCATTCCAAATGAGCTGCTCATTTGTAGGAGCAGCTAAGAGGAACATTGAGAATATTCTTCATGGGTAATGATGGGACTTGGGACTTATAATTGGAATATGACGTAAGATCTAACCAGTTTTTATTTGTTTTAACAGAATCCTTATTTGGTCCCTGTGGTCAATATTTGTGGTATTTGTCAGTTTTTAAGATTCTATAATTTTGCTTCTATTTTGAAACACCTCAGCTACAATTTAATGGTTGATTAGAAAAATGTTGGAAAACAGTGATAGTTGCTGCCAGTTCTGCTCTTTGGGTGGAACTATGCCAGGATGTAATAAAATGTTTCCACTGTTGTTGATCCTGCTAGGTAAATGTACCTTTAACCGTTTTTCCAGACCCATCCAGAAATACAGTAAGTGCACCCAGAATGGGTGAAGCAGAAACATAGTAGCAAGGGAAACAGGTAATAACGGATCTCCTTGGAGGATTTTATCATGAAGATTTTCCATGAGGCAAAGAAAAGTTTAATTGTCCAATATAGTCAGCCATGGCTATTTGGAAGGGTTCAGATTGTCGGAGAGCGGCATGAAAATCTGACTTAGTGAGGCCAGGATTGATAATATCAGGATCCTGTGAGCATTTCGCATCTGAGCCATCCCTGTTCTGGAAGAAAGGTATGGACCTCTAAATGAGTGCATATTTTTTTTCTTGGGGTGGGGGGTATGAAATATCCATTCAATCACTCCAACAGCAGGATGGAACTGACATATCAGTCCTGTAGGACTATGAGGAGTGTTGAGAATAATGAGGTGAACTGGTTTGTTGAGGTACACATTCTGATGAGTGGACAACCATTGGTCAATTTGTTTAAGTTCAGATTTGGCCATTAATGAAAGAATTGGAGGAAAGGAGAGGTTGGGAGCTCCTTTAAGTATACCAACTAAGTGTGTTAACTGATAGGGATTCCCGTGAAGAGACAAAGCCAGTTTATATTGCCCAGTAATTTTTGTAAATCATTAAGCGTTAACTAGTCAGGAATATTAAAAGAAACTCT